GCTTGACACCAATTTAAATTTACACTTAAACTTGGACGTAAACCTTTATGAACATTTACTGTTTAATGTTAATAAACTGACTAAAGGAAGTAGTTTCCTTAGTGAAGATCTTAATTCTGCTATTCGTGTTTGTGTTTATAGATATATAGAATCAACCAACATATGCATGTATGTTATGTATGTATGTATGTATGTATGTATGTATGTATGTATGTATGTATGTATGTATGTATGTATGTATGTATGTATGTATGTATGTATGTATGTATGTATGTATGTATGTATGTATGTATGTATGTATGTATGTATGTATGTATGTATGTATGTATGTATGTATGTATGTATGTATGTATGTATGTATGTATGTATGTATGTATGTATGTATGTATGTATGTATGTATGTATGTATGTATGTATGTATGTATGTATGTATGTATGTATGTATGTATGTATGTATGTATGTATGTATGTATGTATGTATGTATGTATGTATGTATGTATGTATGTATGTATGTATGTATGTATGTATGTATGTATGTATGTATGTATGTATGTATGTATGTATGTATGTATGTATGTATGTATGTATGTATGTATGTATGTATGTATGTATGTATGTATGTATGTATGTATGTATGTATGTATGTATGTATGTATGTATGTATGTATGTATGTATGTATGTATGTATGTATGTATGTATGTATGTATGTATGTATGTATGTATGTATGTATGTATGTATGTATGTATGTATGTATGTATGTATGTATGTATGTATGTATGTATGTATGTATGTATGTATGTATGTATGTATGTATGTATGTATGTATGTATGTATGTATGTATGTATGTATGTATGTATGTATGTATGTATGTATGTATGTATGTATGTATGTATGTATGTATGTATGTATGTATGTATGTATGTATGTATGTATGTATGTATGTATGTATGTATGTATGTATGTATGTATGTATGTATGTATGTATGTATGTATGTATGTATGTATGTATGTATGTATGTATGTATGTATGTATGTATGTATGTATGTATGTATGTATGTATGTATGTATGTATGTATGTATGTATGTATGTATGTATGTATGTATGTATGTATGTATGTATGTATGTATGTATGTATGTATGTATGTATGTATGTATGTATGTATGTATGTATGTATGTATGTATGTATGTATGTATGTATGTATGTATGTATGTATGTATGTATGTATGTATGTATGTATGTATGTATGTATGTATGTATGTATGTATGTATGTATGTATGTATGTATGTATGTATGTATGTATGTATGTATGTATGTATGTATGTATGTATGTATGTATGTATGTATGTATGTATGTATGTATGTATGTATGTATGTATGTATGTATGTATGTATGTATGTATGTATGTATGTATGTATGTATGTATGTATGTATGTATGTATGTATGTATGTATGTATGTATGTATGTATGTATGTATGTATGTATGTATGTATGTATGTATGTATGTATGTATGTATGTATGTATGTATGTATGTATGTATGTATGTATGTATGTATGTATGTATGTATGTATGTATGTATGTATGTATGTATGTATGTATGTATGTATGTATGTATGTATGTATGTATGTATGTATGTATGTATGTATGTATGTATGTATGTATGTATGTATGTATGTATGTATGTATGTATGTATGTATGTATGTATGTATGTATGTATGTATGTATGTATGTATGTATGTATGTATGTATGTATGTATGTATGTATGTATGTATGTATGTATGTATGTATGTATGTATGTATGTATGTATGTATGTATGTATGTATGTATGTATGTATGTATGTATGTATGTATGTATGTATGTATGTATGTATGTATGTATGTATGTATGTATGTATGTATGTATGTATGTATGTATGTATGTATGTATGTATGTATGTATGTATGTATGTATGTATGTATGTATGTATGTATGTATGTATGTATGTATGTATGTATGTATGTATGTATGTATGTATGTATGTATGTATGTATGTATGTATGTATGTATGTATGTATGTATGTACGTATGTATGTATGCATGTATGTATGGTGTCTCCTATCTTCATTGATACTGATCTAATTCTTATATTCTCATCATATTTGTAAACATTCATAGTTCATTATGTGCTATTGTTTGAGATGTACCTCCAGGGAGTGGGCTTGTATAGTCTTTGCCTGTTCCCCAATTTCCATTAAATCTGATGGATATAATGAAATATTTTGAAATGAAATGCATAAATGTAGCGCAGCTTAAGCAATTCATTTTGAAAGATATCGAAAAAAATACTCTTAATTAATACAAAATAGGATATCTAACAAAGAAGATAAGCATAATGCTTCAGACCCTTTTTTTCATTTAAAAAAACAAATATATGACTTTTTTTCGATGTTCACTCAATTATGAGAGTTGTGTACATATTTAAAAAAAAACTTTACCCATATTGTCTCCTGTAAACCCCAAGCTTTATTTTACCAAATATCTATAATCAATAGAGGGGCGAGGAATTATTTTTTCTGAGGATGTAATACTTAATTCTTTCAAGCACTGCCGAGCGTAGAAAGCAAGAATTTATCGGACATTATTTCCTTTGTCAAACAGATCGAGTGAGGCGTAGAATAGTTTTCTGAGTTTGCGGTATTATTCCAGGTTATATTTTATAACGTAGAGTATTTATATTTTATGATGGCCGAGCGGAACGAGTGTTAACAAATTCTGTAAACATTTTTAGTAAAAATTTAGTTTTTTTTATTAAAATGTTGATGATTGTGTCATGTGCATGTTGTTTAGACGAGCATTTTGGCAATTAAATATTGATTTATTTTGTCATAAATGTGAGTTATGATTTAACTGTTTGTCTTATATTGTGAATTTGTACGCATACATATGTAGAAGGGCAACACCTAATGCAAAGGATATTCACCTGCTAAAGTGATGCTAAGGAGGGTGCTTATATATTTTTTAATTGGTATAAAAAATCACTCCTTGTGATCATGAGTACATGAAACCACAGGTGAAAATACAGGTTTATCTATCATGAAATGGATTCTACCTTTGAAATAATACTTTACATATATACCTAATTCCAACAGATGGTGAAGTCCTCTCTCAACTGATAGGGTGATCATCAAACCGTGACATTAGAACAATAAAGTAAATAGGTAGAGTCAGTTCGGTGAGCCCTGACCACTGACCTGACTGGATACCCTACTAATATATATACAATAGAGGATGAATCCCCTATTATTTAGAGTATACGTTTTGGACTCCTTGTTTGGGCAACATCCTTAGGCATATATATAGATATTTAAACTGATGGCAAAGGGGAGCCATAGGAAATCATAGTTCAAAGAATGGTTGATATTAGAAGGAAATTCCAAATGAAATAGAGGAAAATCTTCAAAAACCTTGGTCCAGATTATTTTTGGACAAAGACAGAAAAAGGGTGTTGCCCGGGCAACTAGGGCAACACCCTGGGTCCGTCACTGCAGTGAATTTAGTAAGATGTATTGATTTTTCTACATCCATGCAATCAACACCATGTTTTCGAAACTGGTACGGGTCACCGCGAAGAAAATGTTTTGTGGTCATAACGACTGACTATCTCTCAATGAAGACATATCCTGTAATACAACAACACAGTGTATATTGTCAGATCTTGTAATGCAACGACACAGTGGATATTGTCAGATCCTGTAATACAACAACACAGTGGATATTGTCAGATCCTGTAATACAACAACACAGTGTATATTGTCAGATCTTGTAAT